GCCTATAGAGTCTAACTTGTGTCTTCAAATGTCCTTCAGTGTGGGTCCATCCACTGGAGCCTGGTTAACCTACCAAGAGTCTCACGCTTGAAAGAGACTGTCTCTGCCCCTCCCAGGAGCCATCTGCTGACACACTGACACAATTTCCTTAGGTGGGGTTGGGGTTTCTTACCTACTTCCTCATGTCTATGCTGGGATTTTTTTTCTGGTTTAAGCTTGCATGGGACTTGTGCATGCTGTTTCTTCATGATCATCCACCATCCTGGCTCTTAGAATCTTTCTGCCCCCTCTTCCACAGTGATCCCTGAGCCTTGGGAGGCAGAAGTTTGATTCAGGTGTCCAATTCAGGGATAAGCACTCTGCAGCCTCTTGTTCTTTGCATGTTGACCAGTTGCGGGTTTCTGTGTTAATCACTATCTGTTGCATAAGGAAACTTCTCTGGTGAGAATTGTAAGATGCATTAATCCTGGAGGTGTGCACAGATCCTGAATGGGATAGAATCCTCTTGACCTGAGAGGTCTGAGAGCTGAGATGGCAGGGCACTCTGATTTTTTGTTTTTTGAGACAAGGTTTCCCTGTATCCCTAGCTGACCTGGAACTCACTATGGAGTCTGATTTGAAATCTTTTTCAGTTAAATAAAAACCATTGACACAGTAGAGTGGTTGTGACCCATAAGCCACCTGGGACTTGACCGCCCTTCCCCTTCTACTTGCAGACATCATCCCTTCAGCAAGAATGGATGGAATGGATCCCAGAGTAGGCCTTGCTCAGCTGTTAGGCTTCCCTGATGTGGCTGGCCAGGGGAGAGCCCCAGTAGTGGGTAGAAACACACCAGGCTGGAGGGGACACTCAGGATCACCCCCACCTTGTACTTTCAGGGGAGCTCTTTGCACAGGCTCCAGTAGATCAGTTTCCTAGCACAGCTGTGGAGAGTGTGACTGACTCCAGCAGGTACTTCGTGATCCGAATTGAAGATGGAAATGGTAAGTGTGGTTCTGGGGGCCCCTATCAAGCACAATCCTTGCCTCCGAGAAAGTGAGATTGATGAATGTCATTCTCCAGGCCGACGTGCTTTTATCGGAATTGGCTTTGGGGACCGAGGGGATGCCTTTGACTTCAACGTGGCATTACAGGACCATTTCAAGTGAGTGCCTCCAGGGACACGTGCTCTTGTCTCCTGTGTCTCCTCCCACTCCCTAGACAGAACCATTTCCAGGTTAGGGTGTCTAGTCATGGTTTGTCTGCTGGCAACATGGAGTCCTTCAGGCAGGCTGCCTTCTCTGCTCTGCTAGGACCTGTTTCTCCTATGAGCCCTTCTTAAGGCTGTGTGCCATCTCTGTCACCTGGCCCAGCCTTTGCAGTGTCACAGCTCTTCCTCACCAGCTGCTAAGCAGCTAGAGTCTTGTCAGGTTCCTGTGGCTCTCTGGCCTGCTCCTTCATGATGGCACAAGTGACACTTTACCCCCCCCGCCCCCATCCACCTAGCAGGTGCTTTGATGTCCTTGTGAAAGAACAGGACATCCAGTGGCTCTGCCTGTGACTTAGCAAATAAGCAGTGCCTGGTCACTTGGGTGACACCCCTGGCTCAGGTGGCTACTAGGTGATGGTGTAGGAGGGTGGTGTTGCCCTCCGCTTTTAGGCATCTGTTTTGTCACAGCACAGATGAGTATTGGGGTAGGGGGTGGTGGCAGACTATGCCGGGCTCTGGATGGAAAGGGCAGGCTCTCCCGCCTCCTGGAGACCAGTACCAGGCCCTGTGTAGGTGAGCTCATCCAGTTCTCATCTTTAAGACCTCAGAGGTGTCAGCCATTGTGCTGATGGGAAAAGTCAGTATCCATGCAGGTACATAAATGCCAGAGGTGGACTCTGCATTCCTGGTTTGGAAACCAGCCTTGGCACAGGCCTGGTCTGGAGTGAAGGCAGTGTGAGTATGTACAGGGCAGCTGCTGCTTCTGCCTCACCCTCTTCTTCTGACCTTCCCCAGGTGGGTGAAGCAGCAGTGTGAGTTTGCAAAACAAGCCCAGAACCCAGATGAAGGCCCCAAATTGGACCTGGGCTTCAAGGAGGGCCAGACCATCAAGATCAACATCGCAGTGAGTCCCACTCTCGCTTGACTCTGCGGGCCATGGTCATGTGACAGTTTTGGCCACCCAACTCAAAGCCTCCCAACCCCTAAATTCCTCACAGTTTAGTTCCATCCATGCAGCCAGAATTTATCAAGCAGGCTTCACCTCAGGCCAGGTTTATCCCAGGGTACAGAGAGGCCTCTGATTCTGTGGCATTTCAAGTTGAGCTGAGCAGGTATAGATATGGTTCCAACATGGCAAGAGGGGCTCTAGGGCCAGGGGTGCCCTGGTGTTGGGGCTTCTGAAGGAAGAAAACACATGGATGGCTCATTAATGGGGGGCAAGGGACTAGAAGGGTTCCTGAAAGGAATGACCAGTGGGTAGGCATGAGGGGTCAGAGGATGGTACTAGCCAGGGCTGGTGTTTCTGCCCTGGCTGTTGGAGTGGGTAAGGAGGGTCAGTGTGCTTATTATCTTAAGCTGCATCTTGGTGTCATGCCTGAGTGAGGAAGGTTTGGGAATTCTGCTGGAAGGCGTTGAGGAGGGCTTTGGGAGTCGTGGGCAGCTTCTGCTGGTGGTGTTGTCCTGGCTCCTCCTGTCTTCTCGCCCTGTGGCTCTGCATCCAGCATTCCTGTTAGCCTACTCCTATTGAATAGAAACAGGTTAGGGTGGGTGGGGTGCCCAGACATGGCCTCACCCTGGCTGTGGAGGTGGAGTGGGATGATGGAGTTGGGAGTCAACATATGGGGGAGCCAGGAACCAAATGGGTTTGATTTTTGAAGAAAGCTTGTGAGTCTAAAATAATGCTTTTCCTCTTTACTTACCATTTCTTTCTCTCTTCTGCTTTATGCTGGTGATGCTTTGGGACCTTGAAGTTGGCCAGCTGGCCCTTAAAAGAAAGTGCAAGTCCAATCCAGTGGACTGGTGGGAATGTGATTCTTTCTCTTGCTTGGAGGAAACTAACATTTAATGTGCATCAGCTGTGGGCCAGGTAGTGTTTTTAGGCGTTTCTTCTATGATTTAAGCAAACCTCTCCTTTTGTAAAAGACAAAAGACATTGAGGCACAGAGATGGGAGGGGGCTTGACCAGGTCTTTGAACTAGAAATAACTGGCCCAGCGGGCTATACACTGAGGACACTGAGCTTCCACCTCAGCATGGCCTCACGCCGTTGCTGCTGCTGTGCTCATGAGCAGGGACTGCTGTCTTCATCTGTGTGGCTTGTGCTGGTTTCTGACTCATGCTTGGTGCTTTCTGCTTTGTTTAATGTGTTGAAGTAACATGTATGGAAAAGTGCCCAAATCATAAATGCAGACCTCAGTGAACTTTAAAAATCCAAACTGAAGGGCTGGGGAGATGGCTCAGTAAGTAAAGTGTTTCCCTTACAAGCATAAGAAACTGAGTTCAAATCCCAGAACCCACATAAAGATGCTGAGTGTTGGGGCTGGAGAGATGGCTCAGTAGTTAAGAGCATTTACTGTTCTTCCAGAGGACCTGAGTTTGGTTCCCAGCACCCAAGTCAGGTGGTTCACAGTCACCTGTAACTCTAGCTCCAGGCGATCTAACACCCTCCTCTGGCTTCCATAGTCACCCCTAAACATATGGCACCCCTACCACACACACATACACATGCATAGATTAAAAAATAAATGCTGGATGTAGTGGTGTGGTCCTAGAATCCTAGTGCTAGGGAGGCAGAGACAGGAGGATACCTGGGGCTCACTTGGTAAGCTCCAGGTCAGTGAGAGGCCCTGACTCAAGGGAGGTAGATGGCGTTTCTGAGGATGACATTCAAGGTTGACCTCTGGCCCTCAGACTCACATGCATCTGCACCCATATACGTGCACACACACCCACCCACCACCACCACCACCACCAAACTTAAGAGAATGGGAATTGCTCCTAGGTCAAGAAGCAGAAGACTCGGCACTGTGGGACCCCTTCTGTCCCGTTCCAGTAGCTTCCTGCCCTGACTCCAGATGCCCTGGATTGCCTCCTTGCTTCGCTTTCAGGAGTTGAATGGGAGACTTAGTCTCTCGTACGCAATGTCTCCCTAGCTCAGTGTCATGCTGTGAAAGCCACCATGTTGCCCGTGCTTTTCGTCCTCACTGTGGTGGCACATGCTATTGTGAGCATGTGCCCAGCTCATCTGTTTCACTGAGCGTGGACTCCATTTTGGGGCAGCTCCAGATAGTGCTGCACTGTGACTGTCCAAGATCATGACATTTGTACGCTTGTGTGCTTTGCCATAGGGTCCCTGTCTGAGAGTTGACTGCAGGTCGTGGACTACTGGCTGCGCTCTGCAGGCTCCCTGTGCTGCTTGGTCAGAGTGCTCAGATTTCTCTTGCAGCAGCAGTGCCTGGTCTTCTGGATGCTCTGTGCCCTCGTCAGGACTCAGAACTTTGGCCATTTTTGTGGGCGTGGGTGTGTGTGATTGTAATTTGATGTGCACTTTCCCGATGAGAACAATCAGGTGTTGGGTTTTAAAACTGACCATATTGCTGATAGGTTGAGAATTGTGATGGATTGGATGTAGCTCATGACGCTGCTATATGGGACCATCATTTGGCGGTACAGAGTCGGGGACTGGAGGTCCCCTGGGGTTTTCCGATGTGCTGGGACTCTGGCGGAACAGGCTGATTTGCATTTTTCTCTGTTTAGAACATGAAGAAGAAGGAAGGAGCAACTGGGACGTCCCGAGCCCGGCCAGCCAGCACAGGAGGGCTGAGCCTGCTTCCGCCACCTCCAGGGAGCAAGACTTCCACCCTCACCCCTCCCTCTGGGGAGCAGTTGTCTGTTGGGGGCTCTTTGGTCCAGCCAGCAGTTGCTCCTGGTTCAGGTCAGTGCTGGGGTGACTGCTGCACCTGTACCCAGTTCCTCTTCCCTGTGGCTTTCCCTCCCTCACACTTTGTACCTGTATGTGTCAGACTAAACACACTGGGGTTCCTCTGTTCCCCTAACTTTTCTCCTTCCCCTCCTCCTCCTTCAGGGCCCTTGCCATGACCTGGTAGGCAGTGACTATGAGGTCAGCAGCATGCAGGTGCCTGGGCCTTAGTATGTTTCAAGTGATGCGTGATGCAGACTGGTCTGTGCTCACATATGGTGGGAAAGATGCACGACAGGTACAAAGATCAAATGTATAGGGCCCAGACCACCAGAAGCTTGCATCATCCCACCTGGGAGTGCTTTCCAGAGGAGCTGGATTGTGAAGGGAGTCCACTAGGGCAAGCCAGGCAGAGAGCAGTGTGACCAAGGCTGGGATTTTTGGAACTGTACCATACCGAGAGGTGGATGCAGCTGGGAGAAGCCATACAGGTGATGTAGTCTGAGCTCCTCAGCATGCTATCAAGTGCTGAGACACTAAGAGGCAGCTCCCAGCAGGCTGTGCTGAGGAGCCCTGTGGAGCCTCGTGCTCAGATGCCAGCCCTGTCCTTCCACCTCTGCCAGGAGGGATTGCCACTGGCCCATCTTTTCTACACCACTCTCACCGGGTTTGGGGGACAGCATCAGGGCAGGAAGCCTTCCTGCTTTCCTGGTTATTACTGTTACTAGCATTGGTTCCTCTCTCTGGAGGTCAGGGTTCTAACCTCAGCCCTGTGAGAGTCCTTGGCCAGGAGAGTGCCAGCGTTGGTTAAGAAGTCCTTGCTTGGCACCAGGAAATCATTTTTTACCATTATGTTCAGAGTGGCTCACACATTTGCTTTGGCATTGCTGGGGACAGGAGCAGCAGTCTGAATTCTTGTGACACTCGTGTGTGCCTCAGGCCTTCCCTGGGTTCCTGGTGCATTTTTAGCACCTGCTGCCTGAGTGCCATGTGGAGCATTAGGCTCTGGAGATGCTCCCTGACTTATGATGGGTGGAGTTACATTAGGATGAACACATGGAAGATGCATTTAAGAGCTTCATGAGCCCACAGTAAAGGGAAAATCAAGTCCAGCCATCATTAAGTTGGGATCATTGTATAGCATGAAACCCTTGCTCTCCCTGGCTTCTGTCCTGACATCTAAGACCTGTAGTTAGCATGTTCACAAACAAGATGGGGTCAGATAGTGAGCTACCGGTAGCTGCCATCTCCTGACAGCCATGCTCCAGAGCCACATTGGCTGAGTTCAAACTCTAGCTTATCATTTGTGAACTCCTCAGAGACTCCTTTGTGCCTCAGTTTTCTCATCTGTAGAATGATGGTAATGATGCCTGAGATATAGGTGAAGATCAGATGAGCTAGCCGAGTGCCATATGCGTGCTCATTGAGTGCCATACCTGTGCTTACTCATGTTGGCATTGGTAGTGACTGTGCTGGGCCAGGACTAAGCATGCCAGCTGGATGAACTCATTCCTCACATGAGTCCTAGGAAATAGTCACTCTTCTTGTCAGCTGCTTGAGAGATCAGAAAACTGAGGCTCAGATGATTTGCACAGTTACGTGTTAACCCTGCCCTGACCTCCCCTGAGGCTGTGGTGATGCCAAATGAGATGAACTTGTTAAATACTTTGCAAACTGTGAAATGCCCCTGTTGAAGGCATTAGTTTTATCTCATCTCAGCAGATGAGACACAGCAAATTGGCAGTTGGTAGCACAGGAGAGATGCCAGAAAGCCCAGAAGTAGGCCTCCCCAGGGAGGAGAGGGGCACACGCCCCAGTTCTTTGTGATGTCTTCCAGAAGGCCCGCTTGACCCCCATCCAGCCGGGGCTGTACCTAGCATGATCGAGCATGAGACAGTCTACCTTGTTCCATGCATGACCACAGGCTTTCTAGAAGGGGCTCTTATGGCTTGGGATGTGTTCTCGACTCAGAAGCCAGGACAGGATTTGGGGCATCAACACAGATTTTGGCACAGAATTGAAAAAAGCCTCAGGTGTGAAGTGTTCCCTGGCCTGTGACTCGGGCTCCCTGGCACTGCCCTCCCTCCAGTGTGTGTGTGGTTACTGCTTGCTCCCTCTCAAGGGTCCATGAGGACAATGATAGAGCATGACCTCTCTGTGTTCTGTCCCTGACAAGTTTCCTTCTGTCTTTTCAGCTGCCCAGGATCATGAGACTGACACCAGGTCTCATAATTTGGTCCCTGAGACCATCAGGAAGAAGTCTCTGATTCCATCTCTTTCTCTTTCTCCCTGCCCACTGGACTTAGGGACATCACTAGGAGGTGCCACTGTGCTCTGGCCACGGCCTAAGCCTGTTACTCCTGCCACCACTGACATTTGGGGCGACTTCACCAAATCCACAGGGTGAGAAGGGCCACCCCTATTCTGTCGTGGGGCTGGGGCTGTTACCTTCGGGCTTGGAGTTGTTCCTGAACCTGCTTGTGGTGCTAGGCACCAGCTCTGGTTGGACATTTTCAGGCCAGCCATAGGGCAGAACACCTATCTTGGGTGGCATATTGCCCTCTGTGTCCCTGAGCAGGCTTTTTCCGGCTCCCCACTGCTGGAGGCCATCTTCTGCTAACTTGTGTGGTCCTTATCACATGCTACCCTAGAACTGGGTCAAAAATCAAGATTCCAGGCCTGGCCCGCCCTCATGGGACCTCTGAGACAAGGCATCTCCTGAGATCTGAAGCCTTCCCTTGGGGTCAGGGTGGAAAGATGCTGAATTCCTGTTGTATAGGTATATATGTGGGGAGGCTCTGGGGCTGAGTCAGCACAAGTATCTGTCATATCCAAATGCTTTGGACTGTTGGGATTTGGCATTCTGTCATAGCTGCTCAGTTCTGCCACATGAACGCCACAGTGTGGACACCAGCAGGTGTGGTTGCTGCCCCCAAAAGTGCACTCACTAGCACACATGGGCATGCTGTGACTGCAGGTCCTTTATAAGAAAAATTCATATTAGCTCAAAATCCATTGGGGGGCAGATTGGATCCCCAGGCCAAGGCTGCTCTCTGCTGCTCTAGAACCTTTGGGGACTGCCTGCTCAGAGCTCTTTTGACCAGAAAAGCAGCCAACTGCATCTTCTTTCAGACAGCTAAACACTGTTACCCTCCCTTTCTCCCCTCACAGGGCATCTTCTAGCCAGTCTGAGCCAGGCACAGGTTGGGTCCAGTTTTGACCTGCACAACTTCTTTCTCATATGACTTCTGGGAAGGAGCCGCCTCATCTGGGCCCACGGAAGGAAGAGGAGCACTTCCTGGCTGTCCCTGAACCATCAGCTGTGCTTTCCTCACTCGGCTCTCCTGACAGCTTGAGCACAAGAAAGCAGTGAACTGCTGTCACTGTCACAGTCACACTGGACTTGGGGTTCAGGTGCTGCACGGCGAGAAGACAGGCGAGGAAACACTCCAGGGTCCCCATCCCCACCTGCTCTTTTGACGTGAGGGACCCAGACCTGCCTTCCTCCATCGCAGTGATCCATATTAAATACAGCCCCCAAAGCACAGAACAAGTTGTGTTTGTGGCCTAGATTCAGCTCTGCCTCTCGGGTTGGCAGGTATCACAGGGTCGCTGTTGGCAGGTGACTCCTAAGGAAGAGTCCTTCCTGACTTCTAGCAGATCTTTCGACTAGAGTGAATGGGTCATCATCGGGGGACTTGGAAGAGTTGAGCATTCTGAAAATGTAAATATTTTGCTCTGTTAATGTGCTGAGCTGCACTAATATGTTCTTGCAAGAGAGACCTGCCATGGTAAGGGTCTCTGCCTCACTCCTTGAGTCCCAGTGGTAGCAGTGTGCATTTGCCTGCCCACCTGCTTTCCCTGTCCATCAGCCAGGCCACTGCAGGCTAGGTAGGCTCTGGAAGCCAGGCAGTGCTGGGGTGGGAAGGTGGAAGCAGCTGGGTCAGCCTGCCCACCTCTGCTCCAGGTTCATGGTGTAGCTGGCCGGCTCAGACTCCCCTGGGCCTTCTGAAGTGGCTTATATGCAGATAGCCTCTTCCTCTCATTTCCTTCAGAGACCGTAAGTGACAGGAGTTGCTCCGCCAGCTGGACGTCCAGGCTGCCTGGAATACTGGTTTATAAGAAATGATTTTCTTCCTGGTATACCTCCAAAATGTCTTTATTAACTTAAACTTATTTCTCAGTTGAAAGGTTTCTTTTTTGAAGGCTCAAGACCGTGAACTGAAAAAAGTGTTGACCTTTTGTGGGACCAGAGTTTAAGATGAAAAGAATAATAAATGTTTTCACTTCTGTCAGTGTGTGTCAGGTGGACGTAACTTGGCAGGTTGGCTGCTGCCAGGACATCATGTTGGCCAGAGCAGGAGAATCTGACCCTAAGGTGACAATAATGCCTCTCATCTTCAGGAGTCACTGGTGGAGACTGATTGTGCCATGGGACTTCAGTGGACAGGGCTGTGCTGGAGCCTTGTCTCCCCAACATGGACCACACAAACATCTGCCCAGGTGTGAAGGGGGAAGGTGCACATACACAGAGGCCAGGCAGAAAAGAAAAAAAAGGCTGCTTCTGCCTGAGGATTCTGGACAAAAGACCCTTTTATGTCCACGTGACTAGCAAGTAGGATGAAGGCGGAAGAGACGGAGCTGAGGATCCTGCCATGGAATAACAGGATTGAGTCTGAGTCCCATTTGCATCTCCCTGTGGCCCAACGGTAAGTTGCCTCTTAAGTGCATGGAGGCTGGAAATGAGAAGGCTTAGACCGAGACCATCCCTTCATTAGAAGTCTGCTGGCTGTGGGGGCACCTACCTGTAATCCCAGTACTTGGGAGGTGGAGGCAAGTGGAGCGCTGTAATAAGTTTCAGGTGAACCCACACTATCAAAAAAGTATTCTGGGGCTGGAGAGATGACTCAGTGGATAAGACTGTGTGCTGAGGTTGGGCATGGTGGCTCACAGCTTTAATCCTGGCACTGGGAAGTCAGAGGCAGACATATCTCTTTGAGATTGAGGCAGCGTGGTCTACATAGGGAGTTCTAGGCCAGATGGGCCTATAGGGAGACTCTGCCTCAAAACAACAAAAACAACAATAAAAAAATGTGTGCTTCCCTTGCAAAGGACCCAAGTTTGGTTTCCTGCACCCGGTGTCAGGTGACTCACAACTGCCTATAACTCCAGCTCCAGGAGATCCAGTGCCTCTGGCCTCCTCGGGCACCTGCACTATGTGTGTAGACACATATATTCTGCCTGAGCTTGGTGCTTGCCTTCTGGAGTCAGACCTGGACCTTGGATGTAGGCTGTCCCTCACTGGCAGTGTGACCACTGCTCCTAAGGCCTCACTCTGATGAGGTATGATAGAGCATTGGCAGACACGCACTCTAGCTGGGCTTTAAGTACTTTTCTCCAGAGTCAGGTGACAAACCCTGAGCCCCTGACCACAGTGATGAAGCACCTGTTCGAGGGGTAAGGAGGATATGGTGTAACAGAATCATCAAGTATCTAACCTTGATGGATCTGGTTGGAGGGAGGGGCAGTTTGCTGTTCTTATTTCCAATGGAATTTCCACTTCTCACCAATATAGTTCTTAAGATTGCAACATCTCATGCCAGGCGTGGTGGCGCACGCCTTTAATCCCAGCACTTGGGAGGCAGAGGCAGGCGGATCTTTGTGAGTTCGAGGCCAGTCTGGTCTACATAGTTCCAGGGCAGCTGGGGCTACAAGGAGACCCTGCCTCAAAAAGGAAAAAAAAAAAAAATTGCAACATCTCAGGCCTGGTGTGGTAGCGCACGCCTTTTATCCCAGCAGTTAGGAGGCAGAAGCAGGCAAACCTCTTGAATTTGAGGCCAGCCTGGTCTGCTTAGCGAGTTTTAGGCCAGTCAGAGCTACACAGACCCTTGTCTCAAAAAAAAAAAAAAATCTGCTGTAAATTCTCTTGTTGACTTTGAAGAAGCACATATGAGCTACCTCAGAGAGGATCAGGTGGGAAACTCCCCCTGGGCCAGTGAGAAACTCCTTGCCCAGTCCAGCTCCTATAAGACTCTCGAGTGCTGCTAAGAGCCACATGAACTTGGAAGTGGGTCCTTCCCAGTTAAACCTTCAGATTAACTCCCAGACCTGGCCAACACTTTGCAGCCTTACCGAGGATCCAGCAAAGTTGGGTCTCCACTCCTGACCTAGGGTAACTGAGACAGCAAATGTTTGTACCTGGACTGGGGGTGTAGCTTGTTAGAATTTTAGGCCTTGGGTTCTAGCTGCAACACACACACCACACAAAGATGGGATGTGTTAGGCAAGCATTCTATCATGCACAAAGCCCTGTGTTTGATCCCTGGCACTGCATAAACTATTATGGTGATATAAGCCTGTAATCTCAGCATTTGGAAGGTGGAGGAAGATCAGAAATTCAACATTATCTTCAGCTATATAACGAGTTCAAAACTACCTTGGGCTACATGAGACCCTTGTCTCAAAGTAAACAATCAAAACCAGTTGTGGTGGCACACACTTGTAATCTCAGCACTTGGGAGGCAGAACAGGAGGATCACTCATGAATTTGAGGCTATCCTGAGCTACATAGACCCTCTCTCAAAACAAGCCAGTCATGCTCACTCCATCCTTCAAGGACCACACAGGCAGACTGCTGCCTCCATGCGGACCTCATGCATGTCTTGGTTTGTGGTAATGGAGCACCAGTCTGCTTCCATCTTTGCATGAACTTCTCCTGTGTCTGCATCTTCTCTCCTCATTTGGTCACTTACATTTTATTTAGGGTCCATTGTGAACCTGGGATATCAATAACCTTGAAACAGCTAATTACAACTGCAAAGACCATGTTTCTAAACAAGTTCACACTCAGAATTACTGGGGGTTAGGACTTGAGGACACTATTCAACTTACTATGTTATTACAGTGTCTGTTGAGATGTTACATAAGTGTACATACATCAGTGGCTTACTAGACCCCTGAGGAAAATGAATGAAAGAGCCCTTTATAGATTGATAAGGAGTGATCACTAAGCTGTATCAAGGCAGATAGCTAGGTCTAGGAGAAAAGTGTATATAGGGCTGAGGATGGAGCTCCCTGGTAGAATGCTTGTTTAGCATGCACAAAGCTGTGGGTTCAATCCCCAGTACCACCAAAACAAACAAAAAAATTAATACATGCTCTTTTGTACAAAAAAATGGAAGGGAAATTACATGGTTAAGTAAGAGACATAGGAAACAGCACCCCACAGGTTACCTTACAGAACAACAGATGACTGAAGACAGAAATAGCTGGGTGTAAGCTGGACAGGGTGGCACATGCCTATATGCTCCTAACACTTAGGAGGTAGAGGCAGAAGGACTGAAAGAAGGTTGAGACCAGTCAGGGCTACATATCTGAAAAATAAAAGGTCAACTGCCAGGCGTGGTGGTGCATGCCTTTAGTCCCAGCACTCAGGAGACAGAGACAGGTGGATCTCTTGTGAGTTCAAGGCCAGCCTGGTCAACATAGAGTTCCAGCCCAGTCAGGGCTACAGGGAGACCCTATCTCAAAAAGACCAATAAATAAATAATAAAGATGAAGAGTTATACAAAGACCCAAAGATAGAGCATGGTTAGCATTTTTAGATTATTTTATGTGTATAAGTTTCCCTGCATGTTAAGTGCACACACCTCCATTGCACAGTGCCTGTGGAGGACAGAAGAGATGTTTTGTATTACAAAATGGTTACACTTAATATACCGTAGCCCTTTCTGTATTCATTTAAGATCTCTTTTTAAAAGATTTATCTTTGTGTATGTGTGTATTCAGGTGCCCATGGAGGCCAGAAAAGGGAGTTGGATCCCTTGGAGCTGGAGTTACAGGAGGTTGTGAGCTGCCCAACCTGGGTGCTGGTAATTAAAATTGGATCCTCTGGAAGAACAGCAAGACCTCTTAATTTCTGAGTCATCTCTCCAGCTCTATTCTGTAATCATGTAATGGTCTGTAATTCTTGGAGTTTTGTCATAATATTCCAATGTGTGACTATCCCATGATTTATTATGGAAGTCCAATCCTGGCCTTTCTGATTTCTTGGCGTTAAAAGTCAGGTATTGTAGAAAGGCTTTGCGAGGGCTTCAGGTACCCAGAAGTCCATTTAATGCAAGGCCCATCCTCTAAGCCTCCTGGTTAAATGTGGTTTTGCTGATGCTGAACACAGTCCACCCCAGCCTAGCAGCTGCACTGGCTGAGCACTGGGTCTTAGCAATATGGGGGTGGTTAACTCCAGTCACCCGTTTCCTGTTACCAGAGCTGCAGGTTTTGAGCCCTCTGCAGTGAGCAGGTAAGTACCTAACACAAATTCTTTTTGGTGGCTGCTCCAGTTAGGGGACAGGGAAACTGGTGAAGGGCAGCACTGGATATTCAAAAGCCTGCAGCACAGCAGGGGACCAGTGTTCACAGGCAAGAAAACTGAAGGCTTCCCTAGGTGTTGCTGGGGACTCCTGGGTAAAGGTCAAAGGGAGAAGCTGTTCCTCTGAAAATCTCCAGAGAGACCACATGGTTCAGGAAAGAGCATGGGACTGGAAGCAGTTGAACTTGCCCTGTGCATCCTTAGGCCAGTGACTCTACCTCTCTGAACCTCTTCTATAACATGGATAGTCCTAGAAAGTGCTTCCTACCCAGCGGGACCTTCCTCACATCAGTATGCAGAGGACTGAGAATAGAATAAAACACATTAAGTCGAAGCAGCCAGCCGGAGGGTATAGCCAGTGTAGAGTGCTGGCAAGGCCCGAGTACTGGTAACCAAGGGAGACAACACTGGGCGGATCTCACTCCAGGCCTCAGGGATTCACTCAAACCTCCTGGGACCAATAGCTTTTGCTCTGTCCAGACTAGAGTTTTGCCTACCTCAGTGGACACAGTGACAGCCTCTAGTGCTGTAAACACGGTCCCTTGGAGAAAGATGAAACTCCCACTCCTCCACCCCCACCCCACCTGTGATGCAGAACCTGCTGGCTTTTCTGAATATTCCCAAATGCAAAACCATAAAGGTAACGATGCTTTTTCTTTTTCTTTCTTTTTTCTTTTTTTTTTTTTTGTCTTTTTGAGGCAGGGTCTCCCTGTAGCTGCAGCTGGTCTGGATTTTCTATGGAGACCAGGCTGTCTTCGAACTGACAGAGATCCACCTACCTTTGCCTCCTGAATGCTGGGATTAAAGGCATGCGCCATCATGCCCAGCTGATGCTTTTTCTTGCTTTGAAAAATTTTTATTTTTATGTGTATGAGTGTATTGCCTGCACCCGTGTCCTGAAATGCCCGCAGAGGTCAGAGAGGGCAT